TTGATGATTTTCATTGCTGAATTTAATTCAGAAGTAACTTTAGTTAACTCAGTTTTACATTGGATGCAACACTCACGTTTTAAGTCACGATCTTCCTCAATTATATTCACAAAATCTTCTGCAGTCTTATCACTTGTTATGGCAGTATCTGCCATCTTACATATCTAATAGAACTGACTGTAGTAATTATCAAGGTATATCAGTGTTATCAACTTCATACAAAATTTTATCCAACATACTTCCCTGAAGGTTAAGTCCATGTAGGTGAAATCACCATGGCTCATCAATGTGGGTTTTGACATGAGTATTGTACAGTATTCTTACTGAGTTTTGGGAACCCATGAAACTAGTAAGGCTTATAAAAATGTGTTTAAATGAAACCTATAATGTGAGTATAGGTAAACATTTGTCTGATACGTTTCCTATTCCAAATTGCCTAAAACAAGGAGATGCCTTATCACCTGCCATTGCTTTTAGACTTTGCTTTAGAATATGCCATTACGAAGGTTCAAGAATTCCAGCCGGGACTGAGATTAAATGGGGCACATCATCTTGTGGTCTGTGTTGATGATATAAACCTGTTGCAAGATAACATAGATGCCATAAAGAAAAACAGAAGCTCTTAGCTGATGCTACTAAGGAGGTTGGTCTAGAGGTAAATGTATAGGTAAATAGTATATTGTTATATACTATGAAGTGACCAAAGTCATGGGATAGGTACCTAGTATCGTGTAGGACCCCCTCTAGCTCGGCAAAGTGCAGCAACTCGACGTGGCATCGATTCCACAAGTGGACGGAAGACTTCTGGAGAGATGTTGAGCCATGCCATCTGGATAGCCGCCCACAGCTCCCTGGTATTTGTAGGTGCAGGATTTTGGGTGTGAATGGACCTCTCCACCACGTCCCATAAATGCTCGATTGGGTTCATGTCAGGTGAAAGCGGTGGCCACACCATTCGTCGGAACTCTCCAGAATGCTCCTCGAACCAATTCTGGACAATTACGGCCCAATGACACGGTGCATTGTCCTGCTGGAATATCCCATCGTGGGGGTACATGAAGTCCATGAAGGGCTGCAAATGGTCACCAAGCAGTCTAACGTAGCGGTCACCGCTCAATGACATGTTTAGGTGGACGAGTGGACCCAACTCATGCCACGTGAACACACCCCACACCAGTATGGAACCACCGCCAGCCTGCATGGTGCCTTGTTGACAACTGGGGTCCATGGGCTCATGGGGTCTGCGCCACACTCGAACCTTACCATCCGCCTGAAACAACTGGTACTATGACTCATTGGATGCCACATATTGCCAGTCCTCCAGGGTCAAATTAGCGACGTCACAAGCCCAGGTGAGGCACTGTCGTGGTGTTAACAGAGGCACTCCGGTCGGTCTTCTGCTCCCATATCCCATGGAAGCTAAAGAACACTGCACTGACCTGCTGGATGTGCGTCTGGTACCTCCTGCATTGAATGTGAATGTGATTTCAGCCAGCGTTGCTTGTCTGTTACCACGGACAATTCTAGCTAGACACCACTGGTCATGATCATTAAGCACCCGGGGTCAGGCACTGCACTGTCCACGGTGGGTGGAAATGGCTTCCACAAGGTATTCCCCATACACACGTGACACTGTGGATCGAGGAATGTTGAATGACCTCACAACTTTGGAAATGGAATGTCCCATCCGCCTGGCACCCACTTTCATCAAACTCCGATAATTCACGTCGGCTTGCCATGAGCAGACTGGCCGGTGTTCAACCTCACTCACAAGAGAACACCTCACAACTGATACTGCTCTGGGCATTCCCAAGCCATCAAGGGACGCTGGCGCCACTTGAAAATAAATTTACATACTGCTATCCCATGACTTTTGTCACTTGAGTGTATATTGTCATGTATAGGGGGTACGTGTGACAAATATAACAGGTTCTAGATTGGATGATTGGATTTATTAATTACAGATTCTCTTGATCACACTCAGTTGTAATGCTATCATTATTCTGCACACTTTCAGTTCATCATTGCACACACACTAGGATTCTTCGTCTTCACTAATTGTCTCCTGGCAATGGATCTCAACATAGAAACTAGCACTTCAAATCACTATGATATCTTCATGTTTTTTTGTCTTCAGTCACTCTGTACTCAACTAATCTTCATAATTCGTTAAAGACATGCACCATTCTCACTCTAGTACTCTCAAGTACACTGAACTAATCTAAACTATAACAGATCCTTGTTATATAGGCTCTGCACAGACCACACAGGAAACACAAGTCACATGATTGCTACCTAGTAAGTTCATTGGCACACTGACTGCTGCCTAGCAATGAGCTATAACATTTGTCAACTGAGACACAGTTTCCATTGTTGCGTGTTGGAACGTGTTTACCAAGCTGTTGCCTAGCAGTGCTTTGAGCAAATCCATTACAATATGCTACTGTCTTATCATCAGGATGCAAGGAAAAATCATAATGTATAGGCAGCTAACAGATACTCTGAAAATCTGGTACAGTTGAAATTTTTAGTCATGACACTAACAAATCAAAATTTGATTCATGAGGTAGTTAAGAGCATGTTGAATTCAGGTAATGCTTGCTACCATTCGGTTTAGAACTTTATGTCTTCTACTCTGTTGTCTAAAATGTAGTAATTAAAATTCACAAAGCTGTAATTTTGTCTGTAGTTTTGTATGGGTGTGAAACTTGTCTGACAATAAGGGAAGAACATAGACTGAAGGTATTGGAGAACATATTGCAGAGGAGAATATTTGAACCGAAGAAGGAAAAAATAATAGGTTGGAGAAATATGCATAATGAGCTTCATAACTTGTCCTCCTTGCAAGATATAATTAGGATGATCAAGTCAAGGAGGATGAGATGAACAGGGCGTGTAGCACACATGGGGTGAAGAGGAGTGCATACAGTGTTTTGGTGGGTAGCTACAAGGAAAGATACCACTAGTGAGACCTAGACATAGGTGGGAGGATAATATTAACATGGATCATGGAGATATGGGTTGGTGTGTAATGGATGATATGCCAGTATTTAATATAGAAGTGACAAGAATCTTTACAGTTTATACTTACTCTGACACTTTTGATACTGCTGTGAGCCTTGGGTTAATGAAGTGAGACAGATTTCACCTTAATCTGTTGGAACATTAGATAAAATAGTGACATGAATCTTATGTATTGCAAAACTGCTGTAGAATGAAGATATAAATCCACCCAGTCTTTGCATAAATGTACTTCTGCCTGTAGGAATAATTTGTTACAGACTATCTTGCAATATTTCTCTTTGCTATATGATCTGTATTGCATGGCTGAACTGTACTACATAAATGAGCAGTCTCAGTGTAGTATTTTACCTCACAATAATACCAGTGAGTTGCAAGACAGAGTGCACACAGGCTTCAGATAGAGCAGACAGAGCAGATTTATTCAAAACATAGGCAATAACAGATGTGGTACTGGCTTACATTAAGTTGTCTGAGTGGCAGGAGGTGCTGTATATGGAATTAAAACCATTTTGGATATAAATCAATTGCAATGTGTTTGTTTTGTGCTTTTGACATACAGGGTTTGTCCAAAAAGTAATGTCAGTGAGTCGATTAAAAACATTTATTGATTAGATCGGTGCAACACATTAAAAGGCTTCAAAATAGGCTCCTTCTGCGTCGATACATCGCTTCCAGCGAGGTTTCCAGGCATCGAAGGCGTCATGGTAGGCCTCCTCCGGAATGTCCTTTAGAGCCTTGGTGCAAGCCTCTTTGACTTCGTCAACTGTCCCAAAATGATGTCCTTTCATGGGAGTTTTCAAGTGCGGAAACAAAAAGAAGTCTGGGGGAGCCATGTCAGGACTGTAGGGCGGCTGGGAACCGTTGGCACCTTTGAATCGGTCAGGAAGCGGGTCACGAGGAAGGCGGTGTGGGCTGGCGCATTGTCATGGTGAAGTTTCCAATAATCCGTGATGTTGGGCCTGATGCGATAAACCATTCTTTTGAGTCTCTTTAGTACTTCCACGTAGAATTTGGCGTTGATGGTTGTACTATGTGGTACAAACTCATGGTGGACGAGCCCCCTGATGTCAAAGAACACAATGACCATGACCTTAACCTTAGACTTGCTTATTCTGGCCTTGGGTCGAGGGGATGCCGAGGTGTGCCACTCGGCACTTTGCCTTTTTGTTTCAGGGTCGTACTCAAACACCCAAGTCTCGTCACCTGTGATGACATTGTCTAAAAAGTGAGGGTCACTTTCACACAAGTCCAAAAGTTCTTGGCATGTTTCAACTCTGCGCGATTTTTGGTCGTCTGTTAACACTTTGGGCACCAGCTTTGCGCACACTTCTCGCATCTGCAAATTGCTCATTTATGGAAGTAAGGATCTTTCAAGACATGTATGATAGATAAATGTCTGCTTTCACAGATAAGACTCTGGAGACTGAGTCTGTCAGCATAAATAGTGGAGGAATATTGCTACCAGAATTTTGGCCAAATTAGTTTAAATGTAATTGTACATTTTGGTTTTATTTGTTTAATATGTTGACAGCCATAACAAATACAGTAGAGTCAAATTTAAATCCATAACTAACAAATTGACATCAGACATTGCATTGATACAAAGAAAGAAAGAAAGAAAGAAAGAAAGGAAGTTGTTTAATATGTCAGATTGTTGTGTGGCAGCAACTGTCATGGTTGTCAGAGGGAACCAGCAACATAACAAACTTTGAACTATAGTGGAAGCGTGTTATATCCCGTATTCAGAAAGTTTTGACTTTATCAGATGATGGAGGAGACATGCAGCAAACATACATATATTTTAAATTTGGCTGGACAGTACCTTTGTTGTAGGATATCATGTCTTTCCCCTAAATAAGCAGGTCTGCTTGTATGAGGATTTTTATGCAGCTGTTCTTAGACTAATGAAACTTGATGTAAGGTGTTTTATTTTTTTATAAAGTTGTAATTACTGGTATGCTGAATTACCTTTATAGACCCTGAAGGCAATGAGGATGATGACGGTTATACTAACGTACGAAACAAGCGACAGGCTGAACAGTATGAATACACTCCAACCAAAACAAGATGTCCCCTGCTACTTGTGGCTGATTATCGCTTCTACCAGGAAATGGGAGGCAGTAACACCAAGACAACCATTAATTACTTAGTAAGAATTTATGCCTTGCTTAATAAATTTATTAAGTGTTCATGAATGCTTTCATGACTACATGTACATTGTAAGTTGTCATTAATTTGCCACATTTCTTTTTGATGAGTTTCACCAATTTTTTATCCATGAAGCAGTTGTTGCCAAATAATTTTTAATGGCAGATTACTGCCTGAAGATGTAGTGTTTCTATGTATAATTTGTGTTGAATCCTGTAAGTGTGTTCAGTCTTGGGAGTTCCCAATTTTCTTATGTCCTCTGTACATAGGTTATCCAGAAAGTAAGTTCCGATGGGCTATTCCAAACCATTTATATTGCTGTTTGATTTACATATGGTACGCTACTTTTTGACATAGCTCACCTGAGGCACCTGTTGTAGCGGAGGACCAGTTTTTGTGTCCCTGCATCGTAGAATGATAACCCATGAAAATCACTTGGTGCTAAGTCTTGGCTGAAGGGGGATGATTGAATTGTTCCCAGCCAAATGTCACATTGAGATCTTGCATTGTGGCAGCAGTGTGTGGGCAGGCATTGTCATGAAGCATAACTACACCCCAACTAAGTATTCCATGTCCCTTGTTCTGGATCGCACAACTCGGTCTTTTAAGTGTGTCACAAGAGACACCTGCAGTGATTGTTGAGCCTTGAGGTAAGAATTCCACAAGCAGAGCGCTTTTTCTTTCCCAAAACACTGTACATGATGTTGCAAGTTGAAATGGTCTCTTTGAATTTTTTCCTTATTGGTGGTGATGTGTGCCTCCATTCCACGGACTTCTTCTTCAATTCAGGTGTTACCCCTGTGACTCTGCAGCTCATGAAGTCATCGCCTTACTCACTGTATCTTGTCAGAAAGGTGAACACACTGGCCTGCTGCTTCATTTTGTGTTCATCTGTAAGCATCTTCGACACCCAGCTTGACCACAGTTTCCGAAAATGAAGTTTATCAGGCACAATTTGATGAAGAAGTGACCATGAAGTTTGTGAAAATGCAAGGAAAGTGACAAAATGGTGGATCGTCTGTTCTCTTGAATCTTCCCTTCACTGCATGCACCAAATCTTCATTAACCACAGATCGTCGGATACTCCATGGATCATCATGCACATTTTCGCGTCCTTCCTGAAAGTGTCTCACCCATCTCCTTACCATTGAATCACATGTTCTCCATACACTTCACAAAGTTGATGATGAATGTCAGCTGCTTTCATGTTTCTTGCATTCAAGAAATGGATCACAGACCACATTTCACATGCAGCGGGCTTCTCAATTTTCTTGATCATTGTAAGCACACAGAACAATATGTAAATATCGCTTCAGCGGCAGTATTTGCAGTTGGAACTTATTTTATGGATACACCTTGTAATTTAGCTGTATATTGAGCTAGCCTGTGACAGAATCCTGAAATTATATTAAGCAGGATTATAAAAAATGCAGACAAATACTCAATATAGATTTTGAATCTGTCTGAACAGCTAACATCTATGCATCCACTGATACCAGCTGTCTTTCATTGTTAACATCTAATAGTTCAGTTTCTTTTCATTCTTTTGGCTCTTCCAGACAAAGAACTGGGACATTTATCCTTGAATAGGAACTGAAATAATCTTTTTTATTTTGTGACAGATCAGCTTGATTGACCGAGTGCACAAGATATATAATGATACAACATGGCAGGATCGGCAGGAGCAGGATGGTTTCAAGGGCATGGGTTTTGTGATTAAAAAGATAGTAGTTCATAATGAAGCTACCAAAGTCCGTGGTGGTGAAGCACACTACAATATGGTGCGGGAGAAATGGGATGTGCGGACCTTATTGGAGGTAATGTTATATCATTGTAAGGTAATTGTAATTATTACAAAGTGAAGAGAAGCATGTATGTAATAGCTCTGTTTGTGTACACTTTGGAGTCGGTATTTCTACTTGATTGTCTGCTGAGGGTAATTTTACCTAATTGTTTGAATTTTGTATTTAATTTCATGCTGATAACCAATAATTTAAAAATATTGCCCTGAGTAAGATAATTTCTGAACATGTGAGCTGAAGGAAACCTTCTTCAGCTAAATGTGGTGCAGTTGAAAACATAGCTTACTGAAGAACTATAAGGTTGATAAATCTGTCTAATAACAATTATGTACAATATCGTTTATATGGCACTATCCTCATATGGTGCTTATAGGTCAGCTGCAGAAGTATAATTTATTACATTGCATAAGCGGCCTCCATAGTCTAGGGGTAACGTTGCCACCTCATGACTCAAGGTACGCGGGTTGAAACCCGGCAGAGGTCATGGAATTTTTAAGGGCGGAAAAATTCAGGGAACAAGTCCTCCGGGAGGGACTTTAAGCCGTGNAATAATAATAATAATAATAATAATAATAATAATAATAATATTACATTGCATTGCATTGTATTCCCTGGATCCAGAGTTAGTCAAAATGACTATAGGATGTGGAATATGTCAAAGCAAAGCAATCTCCATTTTTTTAGTCCAAAAGCAAACCATACCGACTGAGCGACCGCCACTTGTTGGCAAAGTTAGTGCCAACTTTAGCAGATAGAGTATGTCGTGTAGTCATTGCAACAAATCCCCATGGTTGTTAATCTCGGTTTTCTAGACCGTAGCCGCTATTTCCTTGAAATAGCACCTCAATTAACCTCACAAGGCTGAGTGGACCCCGTTCTAGACCCACTTCTCCTCAGAAAATCTGGTAGCGCCAGGAGTCGAACCCAGGACGTCTGGATCTCTAGCCAGGAACTCTGACCACTAGACTACAGATGCTGAGTAAAATGCATATTCATTCATTCATTCATTCATTCATTCATTTATTCACATTCCATAAAATCCTTACATGGTTTAAACAACCGAACAGATATAGAAATCGTCAAGTAGTATGAACTCATCTTGCTTATAATCAAGCAGTTGTCAATATGTTTGCAATATAAAACAATCAATCAATATACAATATAAAATAATGGTGATAAGTAATATGGATAATAATATTGACAACTAATCAGATAAGAAGTATTATTACAGATAAAATGAAGTTACGTGGTCAGTTTCACATCATTCTTTCCATAAAATCCTTACACAGTTACACAGCCAACAGATATAGAAATCGTCCAGTAGTATAAACTCATCTTGCTTATAAATCAAGCAGTTGTCAATATGTTTGTAATATAAATCAAATTAAAAAGTTAAATATATAAATTACCCTTTGCGTAATGTTGCCATTGTCATCTATTAAAATATTCCTCCAATGTATAAAAGGAGTTCACAAATAAAAACTCTTTTAAACTGGCTTTAAACTTATTTGCATTATTTGAGATTATTTTGATTGTATTTGGAAGTCCATTATAAATCCTTGCAGCCATGTGATAAACCCCATTCCTGTATTTCGCCAAATTGACCTGGTACATATGTATATTCATATTTTGTCTAGTATCTTTTCCATAGCAATCCTTATTTATATTGAATATTTCTTTATTATTTATTACAAACATAATTAATGAGTACATGTACTGTGATCTTAGGGGCAGTATGTTCATATCCCTAAAATGTTCTCTACATGACTCTCTAAGATCACAGCCTTTGATCAATCTTATGGCTCTCTTTTGCAATTTGAAAACCCTTTCGGCATGCGACGAGTTTCCCCAGAATATCAGGCCATACGTCATAACCGAATGGAAATATGAGTAGTAGATACTTTTTAATATTTTCATAGATACTACTGGTTTTATATTTCTGATCATGTAGCAGGCTGTAGTCAATTTCTTTGTTACCTCATCAATATGTCTTTCCCAGGTCATGGCGTTTTCAATGGTCAGTCCAAGAAATTTAGTATGATTTGTGTTTGTAATAATTGTTACTAAATCTCCTATATCCCTTTGTACCTGGTTTTTTGCAGTAAAGTTTATATAATATGTTTTCATTGTATTTAAAGACATTAAGTTTTTTTTGAACCAGTCATCTAGTAAACTGTATACTTCGTTTATTGTATTTCTAAACATAATTGGATTTGCATGTGAGATTAACACACTGGCATCATCTGCAAATAAAATAGGTGTACTTTTTGCCTCCAATATCTTGGGCAAATCATTTATATATATTATAAACAGAAGAGGTCCCAGTATTGACCCCTGTGGAACACCATTAGTTACTTTAGCCCATCCTGAATATACTTTTTTATTGTTAGTTCCATTATAAATGGTAGTTCTCTGAAATCTATCCTGTAGGTACGATTTGTATAGGTTGTATTGTTTATCCTTTATTCCATAATACTTTAATTTATTAAGTAATACTGTATGACTAACACAGTCAAAAGCCTTTTCCAGGTCACAAAATATCCCACTGACTAGCATTTTATTATTTAGTGAATTTAATATTCCAGAAATAAGTCTAAAAATAGCATTTTCAGTCCCCCGTTTTTCTCTAAATCCAAACTGATGGTTACTTAATATGCTGTTGTCATTTAAATGTTTTAATAAACTACTATACATTACCTTCTCAAATATTTTACTTATAGATGTCAAGATGGAAATAGGTCTGTAGTTAGATACCCTGTTTTTATCACCTTTTTTATATACTGGCAACATTGTAGCATATTTTAATCTGTCAGGAAATACTCCTTCAAACAATATCCTGTTACATAAGTAACTTAAAGGAACACTAATAAAGGTTTTACAAGCTTTCAGTATATTGTTTGAAATTTCATCATATCCTTGAGCTTGGCTTGCTTTGAGGGACCCTATTACCTTTTCTATTTCTTTATAAGTAGTTTTTTTGATTTGTATATTTGGGAATGGACTTTCGAAAGCCATTGACATATAAGTCATATAGTTATTAGATTTTGTTTTGGGATTTATACAATTATTCTTAATGTATTTGTGAATGGTATCCGCTACTCCACTAAAATACTTGTTGAAATCTTCAACTACAGTGTTCAAATTCATGCCATTTTTGCCTTCCTTGTTTAGTATTTGAATATTTTATTTCTTAACTTGCTTATGCAGTTCGCTATTAATTACATTCCAGGTAGCTCTAATTTTATTTTTTGATTTACTAATTTGCTTCTCATAGTTCATCTTTTTGGCTTGATTTATCACTTTGGTTAATATTTTACAGTAGTTCTTATAATATATACTTATTATAGGACTTTTTTTTTTTTTGACTTCCGCATACAAAGCTCTTTTCTTCCTACAAGAAACAATAATACCAGTAGTAATCCATGAGCTTTGTTTACACTTTTTACTTTGAGTAATTGGAAATGATGCATAAAAATGTCTTAAAAATATATTTAGGAAATGATTAAAACTAATATTAATATCACTATTGTTAAAAACCGATTCCCAATTCTCATAACTTAGTTTCATTCTAAAATCTGCCATGGTATAATCATTTACATTTCTTATTAAATATACATCATTCTTAGTAATACTGAGTGTTGGTAAATGTACAATTAATAATTGAGCTTCATGGTCAGATAGTCCATTAGACTCTGGAAGAATTTCATAATCAGAAAACTGCTGCTCATCGATGAATATGTTATCAATAATTGTAGATGTATTTGGTCCAATCCTTGTGGGAAATGTAATAATACTTTTCAAATTGTAAGAACTTAAAATATCTTCTAGTTTAACTTTCCTAAGGCAATTTTCCATATAATTCACATTATGTCACCACAAATAATGACTTTTGCCTTCTTTTTGTACAATTTATGTAAGATTGATTCTAATTTTCCCAAAAATATTTCGTAATTACTGTTGGGCGATCTATATACAGTTAAAATATATATTTTAAAACTATTAGTATTTACACAAACAGCACAGGCCTCAATATTATCATCACTACAATAGTTATCAATATTAACAGTTTCAGTTTTTAAACTATTATGCACATATATACATGATCCACCTTTCTTAAAGTGCTTTCTGCTATAATATGCTCCAAGGGTATAATTGTCCAGATTGAGGTGAACTGTCTCATCACTTTCAAGATGGTGCTCTGTATGGTACAACTGAAGTTTTCACATGAGAAAACAGTGGTCACACTTGAGGCTATTCAAAAATACATCCACATGTATGCGTCAGTACTGTCAACTTACGCTATTTACATGGCCTTTAAATGAGTCAATTTTTAGACAATAAGTATTCATCAACAGAGTAGAATGAGTATGTGTTTAAGTTTCATTTTACTGCTATTTTAACCTTTAATGTCAGAAGTGCACCGATCGGTACATTGTTGAGTATGGTCGTCGTAGCCAGAGTACCCCAATTTGTGCATTTGGGCATTTAAATGCCACTAGTAGAAGTGCATGCACAATTCTACATATTTATTTTTAAATCTATTAAAATTCAATGTTCATACTTTTTTGTTGTTATCTGCTTGCTGTATATACAGGCTTCAACCCCCCCACCCCCACCCCGGTTCATGTAACTGAATCTTGCTTTTGTATGGTACTCCTTGAAGCATCTGAAAATGCACAGTCCTATGTCACATATCTTGCACTTCAGATGCCTTTCAGGTTCATTATCTCTGAATGATATTTCATTGCCATTTTATGATGAAATGAAATTACAATATTTGAATTCCCCTTGAACTCACAGAAAATTGAATGCACTCTCTATCTCATCGATGATGCAAGCGTTTAGTTGTGACCATAGAAAGGGCAATAGGCTCATGCAGCTGCAGTGGAAGGGCTTGACACTGAAGTAAGGAATAAAGAATATTCCGTCTAGCTTTTATTGAAAGGTGGTACTCTCACTTTAAGACTTCAGTATCTGAAGAGTGTAGCAAAGATGTGAAACTTACCAGCAGAGAA